TATGGCCATATTGCTCCTTAGAGGCAAGGGCGGTGAGACTTCACCTTATATAATTTGGAGATGTTGTCGAGAGAAACCATTTCCTGTAGAGAGAGATGTTTAGTAAAGCATAGGGACAGCTAAAAAGGCGAAGGCCCTTGACAAGATGGATAGACATATTGACTATAGCAAGGGACTCAAGCACAGGAACAATTGTGAAGATGGTGCAGGACCAGGCAGTGCTTCATTCTGTTGTGCACAGGGTCACTATGGGGTGAAACAGCTCGCTGGCACCCAACAACAACAACAACAACAACAAAATTCCTTCAAAAGAAAGCTAAATGCAAAGCCAATCTAAAATAAAAACCTGTACACGTTTCCTTATATTTGTCTCCTACATTGTAGCTTTTACCTTTTTTGTTTTAGAATGCAACACTGGACTTGCATAAATGATTTCTGGGTAGAACTGTTTCAAAAAGCTAACTTCTACTCATACTTACACAGTCTGTAGCTGTGACGACTAATGAGCTTGAGATGACAGATTTTCCTCCATTGAAACTCACTGAGACATTAAGAGTGCTGGAAGAAAATGAAGAAACAATAATTTTAAATTATTTGAATAGAAAAGGATAGAAGCGTTCTCTTTTACTTAAACTGGCCAAGAGTCCCTAGGTGGTAGAAACGGTGAATGAGCTTGAGTGCTAGTCCACCCAGAGGCTCCTCAGAAGACAGACCTGACAACCCATTCCCCAAACTTCAGCTATTAACAATCCTATGGAGCTCACTTTTATTCTGACATACGTGAAATCATAATAAATCCATTCCCTAGCAACTGACATGTAAACTAGCCAGAAAGGAAACTCAGAAAGGGTCAAAGCCTTCTATCCAAGATCCCAGTTTTTCTTCCTTGGTTGCAAGTCCTTGGGAGACAGAACAAATTCCTTAAGTAACTATTTTTTCCTAAAAGAAGCATTTACATAAATAAGAATCGTTTAAAAAATTCTTTAATCCAAAGAAGTATGAGAATTGTTTCATTTTCACACACACACACACACACACACACACACATATAAAAATCCTTAGACACCTTTTAGTTTAACTATCTCTTGTTGACAGATATTATAATGTAAACAAGCAAGAGTTCAAATGGCAAGAAAAGGCTAATGGTTCAAACCAACCCAGAAGCATGTGGGGGAAAAGGCCTGAGGATATTTTTTGTAGGGGCGCTTCTACTTTGTCACATGAGGTAATGATGAATCAGAATCAATTCAAACAATGGCACCCCACAACTAGAACAACACAGACATTACTCTCATTGCAAGATCATTGTCTAAGTATATAACACCAAAAGCTAGAAACCATTCGAGTTAAAATATAGAGAAAGAAATCATGAAGATAGAGATTTGTATGTAAGCATTTGTGGTAGATAACTCGCAGCCATCAAGTCAACTCCCATTTATAGAAACCCCAGAGGAGAACTGTCCCTCTAGGTTTCCGAGACTGTAACCCTTTAGGTTAGTAGAAAACCTCACCTTTCTCCCCCGTAGTGGCTGGTGGTGTCTAAGCACTGACGCTCCAGGTAGCAGCCCATTGCACACACCTCTGTGCCACCACAGCTCTTTTGCTACAGATACAACTCCAAACCAAACTCATCGCCTCGGGTTGATGCCAGCTCATAGCAACTCTACAGAACAGGGGAGAACTCCTCCCTGTGAGCTTCAGAGACTGTAACTCTTTAAGGGAATAGATAGTCCCAGGACATTAAAGTATTCTCACAAAAGCAGGGAAAGGAGAGGACTATTTTTTCCATGTTTAAGAAATAGCATAACTAAAATATGGCTTTCAGATTATAAAATAATTTAATATGAATTAAAATTTCATTAATTTAGATTGTAACCATTCATCATCTGGGATTGTTTAGCCAGGACTTGGGAGGAAATTTACCTTGGCAACTTTTTAAAATGACTTTTTTAAAAAGAGGGGGAATGATAAGGACATTTTAAAGTATGTAAGGAAAATCGCTCTTTGATATGATGTGATAATTCTCATATGGTAATAAGAGAATTCTCATATGATAATAGGTATAACAAAGAATCAATGCTATCCTCTCCTCAAAGTATAGTAATAATTTGTTAGGCTGGTTATGTATACTACTGTGCTTTATAAAATATCAAGCTCCAACTCTTATAAAACGTTCTAACATCAAACATTGGTTTGCATAAACTTTGTCTTAATTATTTTTAACTAATAAAATCTTGTTAAAGAGAAAATTTCTTTCTAGTGTCTTAAATTGACTGCCAAGGACTTATGGACAGGCAGTTAGCTATGGGCAAAAGCAACCTCAAAAGACGTTTAATAGATAATGTCAGAAAGGTAAGATCAAAGTATCATTTAATGACTGCTATGTGCCAGACAGGAGGAAAAAGATGAGGCTGTCTACTTCCATAAAGATTTACAGTCTCAAAAATGCAATATAGTCTCTGTAAATCTGAAATGATTTGATGGCAGTTATGTGTCAGGCAAAAAGCCCTGGTGATACAGTGCTTAAGCATTCAGCTGCAAACAGAGAGGTCAGAAGTTCAAACGAGCGAGAAACATGTGGCAATTTCCTTCATCTATTTTCCAATCTTGGAAACATAATGGGTCAATGCCACCTGTCCTCTAGGGTGACTGTGGGTCAACATTGACTCGAGGGCAGTAGACTAACAAGGGGAGTGTCATACACTATCTAGGCATTTTAAGGGCTTTTCACTTAATATTCACAATTACTCTGAAAATAAGTAGTAATTTTCACAGTTTCATGTATGAAGTACCTGAGGTGCAAAAAAGCAAATTATCTTCCCCAAAGTCATAACACCAGGACTCCAACTAGTTCTGAGCTCTTTCCCACAGAGGAGGATGACATCAAAGTTCTTAATGGATTTTTTTCCTCAGTGTTACATTTATACTTCAGATTCAGATGGCAATGCAACAACCAAAGCAAATTCTACCAGAGATTTTCCAGCTAAATTCTTCCAAATTCTTGTAAAGTATAAACAAAGAAAGTTGAGTTAAATCTACACACAAATAAAAAAAAGAACTGTGTGTTTACATTAACTTAACTTCTGAACTATTCCAACACACAGTGCCAAATGGTCTGTTTAAAAAAGAAAACTAAAACGTAATTGTTCATTGTGAGAAACTAAGTGCCTTGTTTGTTTTCTCCCAGATTTTTTAACAAGTAAACATAATTTAATCCAAAAATAATCATTCCTGGTTCCTAATGCCTCCATTTAAGGGTCTACCAGGAAGCATAGGGCATACTGGACATGATTTTATTTTCTAGGAGGATTATTTTGATTAATAATAAAGTGTGATTGTTGCAGCTAATCTTATTACGTACTTCAACTTCAAAGGCATCAATAGATATTGACTGGGTTTGTTTATAACATGTCATTCAGAGTTCACAAGAAATGAAACCATTCGCTAATTAGTGAAGGAAGCATCTGATCCTGTTAATGCTTGCTCAAATGCCATAAAAGATGACACAAACATTCATAGCTCACTCTTTCCTGTAGTATAAATGCATACTGATGATAGATAACACATGGGCAACCAAAATATCCTCAATCCCCTAGAAAAAGATGAGTTAAAAAAACAAACAGCTCACTGCCATCCAGCCGACTCCAACCCATCCCTATTGTACAGGACAGGCTAACTCTGCCCCTGCGAACTTCTGCGACTGGAATTCTGGCTGGTGGTTTGGAACTAGCAGCACAAAGCATAACCACTATGCCACCCAGGCTCCTATAGTATGATTCGTAACTGTCAACTAGAACTGCCTTAAGTCTCGCCAGACACAGAAATTCTCCTGATGATTCTTTTGATATAGAGGTAATCCGTTCAAACAATATAAGATTTTATCTTCCGAGAGTAGTAGTAGTCACTGTTGTTGTTGGTAGGTGCCTTCTAGTAGGTTCCAACTCATAGCAACCCTGTATGCAAGAGAAGAAAACACCATTTGGTCCTGGGCCATCCCCACAATTACTGTTATCTGAGACCATTGATGTAGCCACTGTGTCAATCATCTGTTGAGGGCCTTCCTAGTTTCATGACCCCTCTACTAAACCAAGCAGGATGTCAGTCTCCTGCTTCTGCTCCCTCCTGACAGCATGTCCAAAGCACAGGAGGCAAAGTCTCCCCATGCTTACCCCTAAGGAACATGCTTGCTTTACTTCTTCCAAAAGACATGAGGTTGTTGTTCTGGCAGTCCATAGTGTTTTCAATATTCTTTACCAACACCATAATTCAAAATGATTGATTCTTCCTCAGTGTCCTCATTCAATGTCCAACTTTCACATGCCTATGAGGCTATTTAAAATACCATGGCTTGAGCCAGGCGCACCTTTGTCCTCAAAACAACTTGCTTGCTTTTCAACACTTTAAATAGGTTTGTGCATCAGACTTACCCAATACAATGCACCTTTTGCTCTCTTGACTACTGCTTCCATGAGCATTGATTGTAGATCCAAGAAAGACAAAATACAACTTCAGTCTTCCCCATTTACCATGAGGTTATGTTAATTATTGGTCCAGTGGTGAGGATTTTGTTCTGTTTACTTTGCGTTGTAGCCCATACTGAAGGCTGCAATTCTCGATCTTCATCAGCAAGTACTTTACGTCCTCCTTGTTTTTAGAAAGCAAGGTTATGTCGTCTGAATATTGCAAATTGTTAATAAGCCTTCCTCCAATCCTGATGCCACATTCTTCTTCATATAAGCCAGCTTCCCTGATGATTTGCTCAGCACACAGATTGAACAATATGGTGAGAGGATACAACCCTGCCAGGCACCTTTCCTGATTCTAACCCATGCAGTATTCCTTTGTTTTGCTCACACAACTGTCTCTTGATCCATGAACAAGTTCCACGTGAGCATAATGAAGGGTTCCCAGTCTTCTCAGGGCTCCCCATCGTTTGTTATGATACATTCAATTGAATGCCTGGGCCCAGACAATAGAACAAAAGTAAACATCTTTCTGGTATTCCCCACGTTCAGCCAAGATATAAATCTGACATGAGCAATGATATCCCTTATTCCACGTCACTGTCTGAATCTGGCCTGAACCTTTGGTAGCTCCCTGTCAATGTACTGCTACAACAGTTATTGAATGATGTTTAGCAAAATTGTACTTGCATGTGAAATTAATGATATTGTTCTGTAATTTGAACACTGTTGGGTCGCCTTTCTTTGGAATGGGTACAAAAATGGATCTCTTCCAGTCAGTTGGCCAATGAGCTGTCTTCCTAATTTCCTGGCATAGACAGGTGAGTGCTTCCAGTGCTTTATCAGCTTATTGAAACATTTCAATTTGTACTCCATTGAACCCTGGAGCCTTGTTTCTGGCTAATGCTTTCATTGCAGCTTGAACTTCTGCCTTCAGAATCATTGCTTCTTGCTCGTGTGCCAACTCGTGAAATGTGTGAATGTTGACTAGTTCTTTTTGGTACCGTAACTGTCTGTATTCTTTCCATATCAGTAACACTACTAATGACTGCCATTTATTGTTTCCTTTTGATAAGCTCCAAACTCAAACTCACC